TGAAGAAGTTGGCAACAGTTTCAGATGGACTGAAGCTGGGTGAAGGGAAAGAAGGAAATGAACTACCATTTACTGAGCATCTAATATATATATATATATATATATATATATGCTTTCTTTCTTTTTTCTGGAGAGGTTTTTGCTTTAGGGCATGTGCTCTCACCAGAAAGAGAGAGACAAAAAGTGAGAAATCATCCCCCCAGGGGGGATGGCCATGCTGCAATCTCTTCTCCTCCAATCTCCTCTCAGGATCTTGGGCACGCACACACACACACACACACACACACACACACACCTGGTGTGAGTTTAAGCTACTGGGTCTGGGACTTGAACCACGATTGACAACATGGGAGTCCAGCAACATAGCCATTATACCAACTGCTGGTCCCATCTACACTTTCAAGTTAATCCTCACAACCCATGAGACAGGTATTATCTTCATTTCACAGATGAGGAAACAGAGGCTCAGAGAGGGTGAAATGACATGTTCGAGATCCCTACCCATTAAGTGGCCTAGCTGGGATGTTGTTGAACCAACGTAGGTCTGACTTCAAAGTTTCTTTTCTTTTCTTTTTAAAGAATTATTTAATTTTATTTATTCATCCATTTATTTTCATTTGGGGGGGGTGGGAAAGTAAGCCACCAGGTCCAGGACTTGAACCATGTTCGGCCATGTGGGAGTGTCCAGCCCCTTAACCACCATGCCACCTGCTGGTCCCGAAACTTTCTTTACATTATGTTATACTGACTCTCAGAGAGGACAAAAGCAGACCCTCATGGTAGGAGAGCAGTTGCCTTGAGAGCAATGATGTAGAATTACCTCCTGTCCTCACCCCACCCCCATCCCAGGGGTGCTGTCAAAGGGCCTAGCCATGCCACACATGAATCATGGGAGTCAACAGCAGCTTAGGAGGGGCTGGCCAAAGTGCAAGCAGCTCCCACATCATCTCAAGTCAGGGAAATAAACCACAGCGGGAGATCAATTAATCAAAGACAAGCTAAAATAGGAAAAGCAGTTTAATAAACACAGAAAAACCCACTGACCTAGACTAAATTTACTGACCCAGTAAAATAACTTAGAGGTTCACAAACTAAAATCTGATCTCAATGAGAATTGGTGTGGGGGAGGTGGGAGGCCTCCCAAGAAGTTTATGTTAAGGAGGAGCCCCTGGGACCTTGAGTTGTCCATCACAGCTCTTCTCCAATGTGACACTACGTGGGCCAGTGGAGAGTGGACCAAATTAAGAGGACCACAGGCTCCAGGAGGAGCCCTGCTTTCTCTCACACTGGGAGAAAGCTCCCTCCCACCGTGGCTGAAGAGGTCCCTGGACCCACTGCCCTCTGTCCTGGGAAAACAGATGCCGAGGGCTCAGTACTGCAGTGAAGTCAAGCCTGCTCGTGGTGTCGACTGTGTGCAGACCACGCCAGGGCTCCTTCCACTAAACTGCAGGAGGGTTATGAGGGACAGCATGCCAAAACAGCAGCTGGCACAGGCAATGGAAAAATGGCTAAGGCTGAGTAGATATTATCTGCGATGAATGGGCCTCACCAGACAGAATATACTCGCACCTTCATCTTGGACTTTCCAGCCACTAGAATTGTGAGCTATAAGATTCTGTTGTTTACAAATTACCTAGTCTCAGGTATTTTTGTTACAGTAAATGAACTAAAACATTCCCCTAGCAATGATTAAACTCGATATGACAGAGTCTCCCTCCTCAATTGAAAATAACCTAATTTTTTCCCTTGAAAAAATAACATATGTTCAATATAAAAATCTAAACACAAAACGAGGTATTGAAAAATGAAGAAACACTTGAAACCATAGTTAAAAATATTTTAATAACTATTTTCCCCAGAATCTCCATGAATTAATGTGTGATTGTGCACACGCAATTTTATATACATGTGATCCTGATATACACGCTGTTTGTTTCTATTTTGTTCATTCAACAATATCCTCAACATTTCATGTCAATAAAACTTGATCATCACTTTTATGGGCTGCATGGTATTCTACTGCACGTATATGTCATTATTTATGTAACTCTTAAATCTTCACTGACTGATGGACATTATTAAATTAAATTATTCCTAATTTTCTTCTCTTTATTCCACAGAAATTTACCAAGTACCTATTATGTGCCAGGTATTGTTGTAAATACCAATGATACCATAATGAACCAGACAGATAAGGTCTCTGGCCAAATGCAGCCGACATTCTGGTGGGGTAGACAAACTGTATCCAAGTAAATAGGCAGACAGTCTGAAAGAAGGATGCATGCTAAGAAAGAATGAAGACTATTTTTGTGGAGAAGGACTAGCATCAGGGGAGTGGACTACTACAGGCCAGGAAAGGCCTGTGGACAGTCATGTAAAGCAGAAGGTAAGAGCAGTCTAGCAGGGAATGTGGAGAACGGCCTGCTAGGAATCAACCATGACCACAGACAGATCAGTCAAGAGACGATTACGAGTCTAGGAGAGAGAAGGCAGGAGCTCGGACAGAGGTGCTAGAAAAAAGTGGCTGATGGAGCCAGCAGGTGGCACAATGGTTAAGACGCTAGACTCCTACATGACTGACGGTGGTTCAAGCCCTGGACCTAGCGGTTTGCTTTCTCACTTTCTTTCTCTTTCTTTCTGTCTCTGGTGAGTGCACATGCCCCAGTAAATAAAATTAAATAAATAATTTTTTTAAAAACTGGTTGATAGGGACCAATACATGGCATAATAGTTACATTGCTGGACTCCCACATAGTTGATCAGTTCAAGTCTCAGATCCAGTGGTTTAAACCTCATGCTAGGCACGTGTGCATGCATGGCAAAATCCCAAGAGAAGAATGGAGGAGAAGGGATTGTGGCATGTGATCTCTCACTTTCTGTCTTTCTCTCTCTGTCTTTCTCGAGAGCACACGCGCCCTATAGCAAAAACCCCTTTTAAAAAAATATCTATTTGGTTCTTATAGCTTATTCTTCCTTCCTTCCTTCTTTTTCTTTCCTTCTTTTTTCCCCTTCCTTCTTTCATTTACTTATTTTGGTTGCTAAGACTTTCTATATTTCTATGCATTTTTTTCTTTTCTTTAAAAAAGAAAAAGAATTATTTATTTAATTTTATTTATTCATTCATTTATTTTAATTTGACCAGAGAGAGAGAAGGAACATGAGAAAGTAAGCTACCAGGTCCAGGACTAGAGCCATGGTTGACCATGTGGGAGTGTCCAGTGTCTTACCACCACACCACTTACTGGCCCCCTTTCTATTCATTTCAATAGTGTTTGCTCTTGCTTTTGAGAACATTTTTATAATGGCTACTTTAAAGTCCTCGTCAGATTTTTCCAACATCTGTGTCATCTCAGCATTGGTGTCTGTTGTCTTTTCTCATGAAAGTTGAGAATTTTCCTGGTTCTTTACATGATGACTAATTTTGGCTCATAGCCTGGATATTCTGAATATGATGTTATAAGACCCTAGGTCTTGTTTAAATCCAATGAAAATGCTGATATTTTTGTTTTAGCAATCAACAGGTTGGGTTCAGGAAGCAAGTTCTGACCAGCCTTCTGGGGCTATGGTTTTAAGGTTAGTTCCATTTTCAAAGCCTATTCAGAGGAGTGCAGCCTCTCTGTGTGCAGCACCGTGTTCAGTCTAGTGCTTGGGCAATGACCTACCCCTTAGGTTGGTTCTGAAATCCCTGGTGTGTCATTTAGAACCTTAGTATGTATATGATTAGCCTGGAATTTTGTAAGTAACTTTATGGGGCCACTTTCCTGAAATCCTCCTCCTCTGTTTTCTACCCTGTACCTTCTGGTTCCTTCAGTCTCCCATTCTTGGTCCTTTGACCAGAAAGTTGGGCAAGTCTAGGGCCAAGCAGCAGGAAGACAGAGAAAGAAAAAGAACAACCATAATTGTACCCTATCCTCTTAGGACTATAGCTCCTTTAATTGGAGAAAAAGGTCCTCCCTCAGCTTTTGGTACTTGAAGGCTCTACTGCTGCTCCTGTCACTACTATCACTACCATCATGGGACTGCCTAGGACTGGGGCACGAGGAAGAGAGAAAGGAAAACATAATAATAATCTTCGAGATTTCCCTCTCTGTCTAAGCCTTTCCTACCCCCGAGTCATAACTAGAACCTCTCTATACTCTGGATTTGGGATTGCCTTGAATTCAGGATATGGGACACTGGAGGAAAAACTGAAAACATAATGCCAGTTTGGTAACAGGCTGAAGCCTGGTTACTTCCTTATCAGTCTGCTCCTAAGTTTTAGAGTCCTCCATCAGCTGCTGACTGCCTTCTGTCCAGGCCTTGCATTCAGTGACAGTGGTGGATTAGTGTGCTCACTCCATCTTATTTGGAACTAAAACCCATTTTCCCACTTTTAACTACCCACACCAACAAAAAGAAAGAAAATAGACACTAATTCCAAAGTTATCTTGTTGAGTTCTAAAACTTCTTTGGCAATGTGAAAGTACAGTGCTATGTAAACTCTCTCGAAATAAAACAATACAGTGGCCTCTACCCTGCTCTTCCTTGTTACCATTCCCTTCCAAGACGGATGCAAAGCAGGAGACAGCACAACAGTTGGTCCCTTGCGAATATACCAGGTGAGCACGAATAAGGTGAAACTACATGTGGAACCTTGTTGATAGACAGAAAACTGGAATGCAGGAAATCTGAGCACCAGTTCTAATTTCTTTTTTAAAAAGAATTATTGTATTTAACTTCATTTACTTCATTTATTTATTTTAATTTGACTAGAGAGGGACAGAGTGAAAGAGACAGAGAGAGAGGGGAAGTGAGAAAGCAAGCCGTCAGGTCCAGGACTCAAAACTATGGTCAGTCACGTGGGAGTCCAGTGCCCTTAACCACCACACCACCTGCTGGCCCCCAGTCCTGATTTCAAACTGACTTTTTAACCATCTTGAACCTATTCTCCACTGGGAGGTGATTAGGCAGAAAAATATCTGAATATCTTTGCCAGCTTTCACTTGGAATGATGAGCAAACCTGGACGTTTATTCATGGTCATCAAGGTGGCAACCCCAGCACGAGGCCCGGCATCTTCACCAGAACACAGGATGGACGTGCAGAGACGCTCTTCCCCTGAAAGTAAAGCATCGTTCTGATGCTCGTGGGGGACTCAATGGCAGCAAGTTGAGGAATGAAAGCAGCCTCTCCTCTCATTCATGGATACTGTGGTGGGGAGCAGGCAGATGGCCTCAGACATGGGATAGCCAAGCTACCCTGGGCGCAGGGGAATCTGAGTCAAAGTGGCAGTTTTGCCATTTGTGTGTCCCACACTGTAAACCCAGGGGAGAGGGAGTGTGCCTGCCTCTAAGCATTTTTAGCATGAGTGCACAGGAAGTGTGGTACTCCTCCCCGGAGGTCTGCGCTAGAGTCTATGGGGTGTGTGTGAACATGCCACACAGCATATGTCCTCAGGGAACTGGGCTCTCACCCCCCTGCAGCTGTGGGAGAGCCCTGACGATTGTCTGCTCCACATTCCCAGGGCTAGGGGGCGCTCAAAGCTCTCTGCCCAAGTCTCTGTGGTAGGGTACGTGCACAGAAAACACACATCCTTTTATGTGAACCTGGGTGACTCTGAGGAAGGAGCGTCCGCTGCAACTCTTCAGTGCATACTTTGAAAGCAAGTGGAAAAGCCTCCTGCTTCCTAGACCGTGAATCCCTATGAAGGCTTCTTGAGACTTTCCCACGATTATGAGATATTCCATAGCCCTTCCCCTAAAACCTCCACCTCTCTAGGCTCCACTAAAATATGGCCAGTATTGAGTGCTGAAAAAAAAAAAATGATAGAGGGGGAAGAATTTGTACCTGAGCCTAGAGTTTGTCCAGCGGAGTCAAAGGAAAGAACCATTGAATCTGCAACACAAGAGGACAAGTTCATTTCTTTCTCCTTCTTAAATAAACAAGTTTCCCCTGGGTCTGCCCAAACCCTCCCCCAAGGGAGCAACCACTGGAATGGCATTCAGCTGCACAGCGGCCATGCCCACCCATCCACTGGGCTAGGAGGCCCTGCTGAGCCTAGCACCCTTCACCTCCTGCCCCTGGGGGAAATGTCTCAAGACAGGCCCCAAGTTCTTCAGAGACATTTCTTGTCCGGTTAGGGGACAAATTTACCCCCTTTTACTTTTCCTAGTGAAAATACATTAAAAACAAGCAAAATAAAACTTTCCTCCTGCATCTAGTTAGAGGCACTAACATTTCCCCTTTGACCTCTCCCTTTTTTCGACTCACATACCCAACTGCTTATTAGTTCTTTCTCCAAAAGGATTTAAAGTGGTCTACAGGAATTTACAGTGTTCACTGGAATTAAAAAAATAATGAGGACACAGAAAGGAAAACTACTATACAGTAGGGGAAATGTTAGTGCACAAAATACATGCCATGAGGAGCTATACGGACACTGCAGGGAGAATTGAGGAGGGCCTCAGCTTCCCAACAGCCAAAGGAAAAAGGAGGAAAGGAACAGTTACAAAGACTCGAGATCCACAATGCACTCATTCTCCCACTCATTCAAATACCCAGTAATATTTACAGGGCATCTACTATGTGCAAGAGACTATATATGATTTTAAGATACAGAAGCAAACAAAAAAGCTTGGTTTTTACCCTCATGGATCTCCCTGCCATCTGTGTAAGAAAGAAAAATATTAACAAAGCACAAGTTACTTAATGAAAAATTGACAAAGCAAAAAAGAAAAGAAGAGCGTGCTGTGAAAGTTTATGTTAGGAACTGGACTAAGTATGTAAGGGGAGTGAGTGCTGGATAAGGAAGGCTTCCCTTGAAGAAGTGACACTGAACTAATGGCTGAAGGATAAGCGAGGGTCAATCCCAACAAGAATGGAATAGGGCATATCAGGCACACAGAAGGCCATGTAGGGAGACTAAGCAAGATGGAGCTTGGCACACCCAAAGCCCACAACATAAAAGCACACCCCATACAGTCATCAGAGAGCATTCTCTTGTAGGTCTTAACAAAAGGGATGCTGCGTGATGTAGAAGACAGAACCTTCTACAATTCTCTAAGCGTGGGGAATCTTGTATGGCTGTTTCCTACAACATGAGCCAATGCAAAACAATGGCATAAAGTCAATGTACAGTTCAATAAAAACAATCATAAGGGGCACCAAGATGACATAAGGCCCAAGATTCAGAAGAGATCAGAATCAAAATGCTTACTCACTGCAAGGGACAGCCAGCTGGACACACGTAAGGCCAGTGTCTATGGCCACACTCCCACCCCAGCGTTAGCACCAGATCTCGGTTTATATTCATTTTCTCTCGTTATACATGGAAATTTAACACAAAGCTACCACAACTGTGAATAACATCTGTTCCCACTGCTAGTCTACAAGCTCTGTATCTGCTTTATTCTCCACTAGATTATGAGTACTCAGCAACTATTTGCTGAATAACTTCCTAGAGAAATGAATGAATCTTTCAGGCAATCTTTTGTGAATATTTTTTCTCACAACTATGTGCTTACTAAGAACTGGGTGGCAGACAGCTGGAAGAATCCAGAGGTAGATACTCTGTATCGCCAAGTAAGGGCAGATCCATTTGCTTTTGGAATCTACCAAGACAGAGGAAGGGTTGTCATCTTTTCACAAAAATCTAAAAGCATAATTAAGACCGAGCTGAACAGATAGGTGACTATCTTATCTCATACAGTCAATGTCTCTTATAAATTCTACTTCTGTATAAATAGTTCTCACATCTGGAGCAACTCGGGCGGTGGGAGGAGTGGTAGGGTTTATCCGCTCAACTCCACAAAGGCTCTAGGCATGCCACACTCATCAGGCACCCAGTATGCACCCTGTCTGCAGCCAAGATGACCAAGGGGAAGGTCAGCTCAGCCCAGGGGGCGCCAAGGAAGAGTCCAAGAGGAGATCGGAGAGGTTGTTGGTTGTCGGCTAAACCTGCTCCTGCAAAAGTGGAGACAAAGCCAAAAGAGGAGGCAGGGAAGGATAAATCTTCAGACAAAAGAGTGCAAACAAAAGGGAAAAGGGGAGCAAAGGGGAAACAGGCTGAAGTGGCTAACTGAGGCACTAAAGATTTAACTGCAGAAAATGGAGACATTCAAAATGAGGAGAGTCCACCCTCTGATGAAGCAGGCAAGAAAGAAGTCAAGTCTGAGTAACAAACCATATATATAATATAATGCCATATACCATGTCTTATTAGTGGTCCCTGTCTCCAGAGGAATATTTTTATCAACTATTTTGTAAATGCAAGTTTTTTAGTAGCTCTAGAAACATTTTTAAGGAGAGAATCCCATCCATTTTTTAATCCCATTTTTTAAGTGTAAATGCTTTTTTTTTAAAGAGGTGAAATCATTTACTGGTTATTTATTTATTTATTTATTTATTTATTTGGAGAGGTTTTTGCTAGAGGGCACATGCGCTCGCCAGACAGAGAGACATAGAGACAGAAAGCGAGAAATCACCCCCAGAGGGGATGGTCACACCGCAATCCCTTCTCCTCCATTGTCCTCTCTGGATCTTGGGCACGCACACACACGCGCCCGGCGTGAGTTTTAAGCCACCGGGTCCGGGGCGCGAACCGCGGTCTACTACGTGGGAGTCCAGCGACATAGCCATTACGCTAACTGCTGCGGGCGCGTGTGCGTGCGTGCCCAAGATCCCGAGAGGAGAATGGAGGAGAAGGGATTGCGGCGTGACCATCCCCTCTGGGGGGTGATTTCTCACTTTCTGTCTCTATGTCTCTCTCTGTCTGTCTGGCGAGCGCACCCGCCCTATAGCAAAAACCTCTCCAAAAAAAAAAAAGAAAAGAAAATAGTGGGATATTGACTTATAGGAGGCTTTGACTCTCTTGCGTGTCAGCTTAACATTCCACAGGTGGGGGTGGGTGGGTAGTTTTTATATCCTAAATACAAAGCATACTAAATGGCAGTTTGGAGTCACAGTCATGCATCTAATGTGTCTTGAATATTTTTAATTACTTCTATTATGGTTTTTAGTAGTACTGTTTCCTAAAGAAAACCACTTTTTGATTGTTGCTCTCCCTGTCAGAATTGTGTGTACTCTGTAACATCTTTGGTCGTGGTAGTTCAGTTTTCCTAATAATTGTGTTAATGTGCTGTGAAAGATTGGAAATTGATGTAGTGTGTATGATACTAAATTGTGATTTGGTGGGACTTACATAATAGCTTTCAGCATTTGAAGACAGTGGTTCTTGATATCTTCTTAAGGAAAATTTTCCTCCAAAAATTTGAAGCTGGAATGTCACTGGAACAGCTTAAAAAGAATCGCTATACTTGGCTTTTTAAATTTTCGGTACATATGTTAAGAATTGGATACAAACTGAAATGTCTGTACTGATTTTTGACACAACCAATAAATCTCAATTACAAAAGAAAAAAAATAGTTCTCACATCTGCCTCCTTTCCATGAAAAGGAGTCTACCTCTCCATTTCTTTCTTTCTTTCTTTCTTTCTTTCTTTCTTTTTATTTATTTATGAGAAAGTTTTGCTATAGGGTATGTACATTTGCCAGAGATACAGAAAGTGAGAAATCACTCCCCCGCTGAGGGGATGGCCACGCTGCAATCTCTTCTCCATTCTCCTCCAGGGATCGTGGGCACACACACATGCACATGTTACTGCTGTGAGTTTCAAGTCACTAGGTCCAGGATTCAAACCACGGTTGGCCATGTGAAAGTCCAGCAATGTAGGGAACCAGCAGTTAGCATAATGGCTATGTTGCTGGACTCCCACGTAGTCGACCGCGGTTAGTGTTCCGGACCCAATGGCTTAAAACCCACACTGGGTGCGTGTGTGTGCGTGCCCAAGATCTCGAGAGGAGAAGGGATTGCGGCGTGACCATCCCCCCTGGGGGGTGATTTCTCACTTTCTGTCTCTCTGTCTCTCTCTGTCTGGCAAGTGCACGCGCCTATAGTGAAAAACCTCTCAAAATAAATAAATAAATAAATAAAAGGTCCAGCAATGTAACAGCTATGCCATCTGCTGACCCCACCCACTCCTTTTAAAAGAACTTTATTGAGATATACTTTCTTATGTATCATAAAATTGACTCATATTAGGGATAGGATTCAATTATTTTTTTTCTTTTTAGGTTTTTGCCATAGAATGTGTGTGCTCGCCAGAGAGAGATAGTGAGAGGGAAAGTGAGAAATCTCCCCCTCAGGTAGGAGGGCCATGTGGCAATTCCCTCTCCTCCATACCCCTCCTGGGATTTTGGGCACGCATGCACTTGCGTCCGGCGTGATTTTCAAGCCACCAGGTCCAGAAGGTCTGTGGAAGTCCAGTACCTTTATGACCCACCACCTGCTGGTCACTAGGATTCAATGACTTTTAGAAAATGTACAAGGCTGGGGCCAGCAGGTGGTGTGGAGGTTGTCAAGGTTCAGGTGGTTGGGCATAGTCAAAATGCAGTGAATCCTGGAACAGCAGCTAAAAAAACACTCCGTGTGTGTGTGTGTGTGTGTGTGTGTGTGTGTGTACTTATGTATGTATGACCCAAATCCTGAGAGGGTGGGTTGTAGCAGGAAGATTCTACTGGGGATGCTTCCCTTCCTCTCTCTCATTCCCTCCTTCATCTCAGGGTAGAAATAAATAAACTTTATATATGTGTTTGTATGTGCATGTGTGTGTGTGTGTGTGTGTGTTTGACATACACATACATGTACACCCTCTCTCCCAACTATATCAATTCCTAAATGGACTGGCCTTCTTTTTCTCCCTTCTCTTCTTTTTCCTACAAATATTGTAAAGTGCCTATTACGTGCCAGGCCCCGTGGCAGATACTAGAAATATGGAGCCACATAAGAGAGAGCCTTTGTCTTCCAGCCAAAGAAGACAGACAAGTTAATAGTCACTTACAAGAAAAATAAAGTATGATAAAGGTATCGCAAGAGGTAGGTACAAACAAGCAAGTCTTATTAGGGAGAAAAAAGTCAGCATTTCTTGCCAACAACATCTCCAGTGGTGGCAGAATGATCCTGAGAGCATGTGTCTTTAAGCTTGAAAACATGCAACTGAAAGGGCAGAAATTTCAAGAGGAAGTTAGTGACATATTCATGTTTTGTGTTTTCGTTTTGATGAATTTTGCTTTGAGTATTAAAGGTACAGACTTCAGAAATGGTTTGGCAATTCATTATTTGTGTTTATTCTAAAGGATGTGAGATTCTTTCAGTTATAAACCTCTTTGACAGCCACGGGAAAACTTAGTATTCAACAAACTGAGGTGTTTGCTTTGCAAGAAACAGAGCAAGGATATCCAGGTTTCTCCCTCTCTCGAGCTAACAAATAAGTCATTTTTATTGCAGCATCCCAGGCCCCAGCCGTTGCTGGCTGCCAGGCCAGAGGCAGCCATGTGGTATACTCGATGAGTGACCAAACAGAATTCCAGACCAAAGCATGACAGAGCCCTGCTACAAATGTCTTTGTTCAATAAGGAAACCTAGAATTTACTGGAAATCTTTTATGATGGTCAGATGTTTCCTGTGTCTGGTTTCTGAAGCAGAATAAAAGGAATATAAAGGACATATGAAGAAGAACGGTGCTCAGTCTTTCTCGCCTTTGGAGAGGTTTCCAAAGCATAAATTATGCAGCAAATGAGCTAATTTTGGAGAGTACTACCTGCTGTGGTCCACACTCAACACATGTCTTCTGCTATTCCGAGTCTAAACTAAAGATATTATGAATAATTTTTTTTTTTGGGAGAGGTTTTTGCTATAGGGCGTGTGCGCTCGCCAGACAGAGAGAGACATAGAGACAGAAAGCGAGAAATCACCCCCCAGAGGGGATGGCCACACAGCAATCCCTTCTCCTCCATTCTCCTCTCGGGATCTTCGGCATGCACACACATGCACCCGGCGTGAGTTTAAGCCACCGGGCCTGGGACTCGAACCACGGTCAACTATGTGGGAATCCAGCGACATAACCATTAGGCTAACTGCTGGTCCCAAATAATTTTTTTAAAATTGTCCCTCAAGTAGTTCACAACCTAACAGGTAAAAATAAAAACATGCATAAAGGTAAGCATGATATATAAGGACAAAAAAAGAGTGACAGAGATTTCACTGTTGCTTAATTTAACAGATATTTATTAAGTAAGTACTTTTCACCCAGCTTAGGGATACAATGGTGAATAAGAACAAGTGTGTTCCTATTTTCAAGGAATTTATATTTTGTTGGGGGAGATTTTTAAAAAAGCAAAACAAAGAAAATAATTTGATAGTGATCAGTGACACAAAGGATATTTTTTTGAAATTGCCTGAGGGTATGTGCACTCACCAGAGAGAGGGAGAAATTACTCCCCAATGGGGCATGTTCATGCTGTAACCCTCTCCGCTCCATTTCTCCATTCTGCGGAGATTTTGAGTGTACATGCACATGCACCTGGCATGTTTTTCAGACTGCTGGGGCCAGAGGCCAGGAACTAGGACTTGAACCACAGTCTGCCATGTGCGATTTGGCTCCCTTAACCACGAAGCCACGGGGCCAGTCCCAGTATGAAGAACATTACACAATGTAATAGAGAACAAGCATAGAAGTATAGCAACATTAGGGAGGGTATTTCGGGAAGGCTTCTCTGAGGCAGTAACATAGGGGCTTATACATGTCCATATCTGCAGATAGGAAGGAGCCAGCTAAGAAAAGGTCAAGGGTTAGAGAGTCCCCAGCAGAAGGGGAAGTAAGCACAGCAACCTTGCTACATTTCAGAAAAGAGCGCTGGTGCTGCTGGAGCCAAGGCACGGAAGGCAGGAGGCTGGTCAGAGAGGAAGACAGCGGGGAAAGCTGCAGGAGGCCCTGCTGACCAGGAGGTGAGCATTAGTCCAAAAACAATGACAAGCTCGTGCCTAGAGCCAGGGGTGGATGGTGGCGGGTGGAGACAGTAATAGGATCCAACTGTTTTTAAATATAAACTTTGAGTGTTGGGCCAGCACGTGGTGTGTGATAGCTAAAGTATCCCACGTTTCAAGTCCTGGACCTAGTGGCTTAAAAAACATGCCAGGTATGTGCACATGTGTGCCCAAAATCCCGAGAGGAGAATGGAAGAGAAGGAAATGCGGCATGGTAATCCCCTCGGGGGATGATTTTTCGCTTTCCCTCTCTGTCTGCCATGCACCCTATAGCAAAAAAAAAAGAAAAAAGAAAAAGAAAAGAAAACAACTTTGGCTTTGGCTGTTATGTGCAAACAAAACTGATTACTCTGGCAACAGAATAAAAGGTAGACTCAGGAGAGAAAGAAGTAGGGATATGGAGAAGGAGGAGAATGCAATATGCCAAGTGAGAAGTGCCGGTGGCCTGGACCAAGGCAGTGGAAATAGGAACGGAGAAAAAAGAGTGGGCGCTAGCAATGTTTAAGAGGGAAAACTCCAAGACTTGGTGACTGACAGGACATGAATGAAAGATGTGAAGGAGGAAGATTACACCCACAGCTTGGGCTTGGCCAATAGATGCTGCCAGCTGCTTGACAGCAAGTGGCCTGCAACCAACTGCATGACCCTGCCTCCTCTGGCCACTGACGATGAGACTGTGGGTGGTAACCTGGCCCAAGGAAAGACAATCCACAGATGGATTATCCCACTATGGGCAGACAGGATCTACTGTTGGAGACTTGAATGAAGACTCACAGAGTTGGGAGAGTGAGCAGGAGACACAGGCAAAGAGGGGCAGAGAGTGGGAGATTACGGGCCGGCTAGATCCTGGGCCCTGGGATAGCGCATCAGAGTGAAGTCACAATCCTGCTAAGGGCAACAGACACCTTCGATTGCTACCTTAGCTTCACAATGTCCTCCCAGTTCCAGATGCTGTTGTACCAGGGACAGCATGGATCATTCTCCCATGAATCCCTGGGATTCAGCTCTTCCTCTGTTTCAGGAGGCCTGGCTTACTATTGAGATTCTTTTTTAAAAGTCTCTTGCTACCTTAGAGCTCCCTACAGTCTGAAGGGCCTCAGCCCCTCTATCTTTCAGGCCTCATGCTTTCAGGCACTGGGTTACCCTCCACCTTCCTAATGGCTGGGTGTCACTAGGCTGGAACTGTGCCAAGCACAGCTCCTCTATAGGGTCTGAACTTCAGATATATAGGCCTCACCCAGACCATGGGTCTAAGCTGTTCTCTCTCATCCTGCTTTATGAAATAGCCCCCGACTCTTGGGGTTTATCGGTCTGAAAACAGAACTGATACTATCATGGCCACATGGCCACCTTTTCTAGTCCTAGTCTCCATTGCTTAGAACCTGGAGGGCTCTAACCCCTAGTCATAGTCCCTCAGTTTCTCCCCTCCCAACTCTAATGCCAAACAAAATTTGAATAAATGAGGTTCCTAAAGATACGCAGAGGGAAAATGCAAGGAGAAAATAAAACACAACCATTAATTCGGGAGGGATGTGGTACTAGGAATCAAAAAGATAGGAGTAGTAGGATAGAAGAAGCCAGAGGAGGTGAGAACTGATCACAAGGAGCTTCCACATGTGCTGAAGAGGTGGAAGGAGCTAATGGCTGAAAAGACACCACAGCATCATGCACTGGAGAAGGGGGACTTTGTAACTTCAGTGAGAACGATCTCTGTACCATGATCTGACTGCAAGGACCCAGCTGTGAATGAGTGAGTAGACGCTGTTGATGCAGCAGACTTGTTTCAAGAAGTTTCTCCTTAGATTTATTTAATTTACTTAATTTAACTTACCAAATGTATGCAGAGACTGCATGAAAAGATCAGACATGGTCCCTGACATCAATGTTTAGGAACCATCAGAGGAAAATACAGACCCAAAGAGCTATACTCCAAGAATCTGGAGAAGTCACTGTGGGAGTTCAGATGCGAGGGAGGGGAATTTTTCACTGGGATGAACTGGAGGAGACAGCAGGCGAGCTGGTTCGAGATTCCTCACAGGACAGGCCATACTGGTAGGGTGGGAAGAGCTAAGGAAAGGCACTGAAGCGTGGAAGGTGAGGCGTGTGTGGTTTCAGGAAGGTAAAATCATACCTAATTAATATATTAGGGTTTCTTTCAGGAGGTAAAAATGCATGTGACTAAAAGAGAACTAGTCAATACAATCTGTTGAGGATTTTTTTAAAAAGGCTTTGACACATCAAAGACTATTTTTAAAAAGTGAGTCACTATGAAATTGAGGAAGAAACTGCTATGTCATACCAGGAGACAAAAGGCACTTGGCTGAGGACCAGGGGCAGGACACCCCCTGGGGCAAAGGACCCACAGGGAGACCAGGAAGTCTGGGAGCAGCTGGGACTGTACCAGTTGCTGCTCTCTAAGTGGGGGCGGGGTGGCACCGCTCACAAACTTGCCTGTGCACAGCAGCGGCAGCCAAACGAACAGGGAACAGCCCTGTGCGGGAACAGAGTGCGGTAATAGCGAGGAGGTCTGAAACCTCAGGAGCACGAGGAAAGTTTCAGCCCAGCCACCACAGAAATGGGAAAGGAAGCAGATGAAGGAGACAAAAGGGCAATATTGCTGGCAGCTGATCAGGACAGTTGGACACTGGCGATCACTGTGATCAACCTTTCTATTGAGACTTGGATGAAAGCCAGTCCAAGTGCATGATTTGGGAGTCAGATGGGCAGATTCGGTTGGGGTTGGTGCTGGGTCTTGGGACATTTTCAGGAGGACCAGGGGAAGTGAACTGAGGCTGCTATCAAAAGGACCCAGCCTGGGTGAGAAAAGTGGAAGGAAAGTTAACAGGGAAGGAGAAAAGTCGGCAACCCAGCAAGGTCAAGGGCATGGCAGGGCATGGTGGGCAAGGCATGAGCTTTGAGCCAGGCTGCCCCAAAGCTTATTGAGATGCCACTGTTTTTTACACTGTGTGACTCTAGACTGGTGTTAATCTTGCTGAGCCTTAATTTCCTCATCTGTGAAAAGAGTAATATAAGTCCCAAATCTCTTCTCTCAAATCCCTGAAACTAGATAGTATGAGAATTCAAAACATTTTAGATTTTAGAATGCAATTTCTAAATGCAATTTCTAAATGCATTTCAGGTCAGATTTTGCTGCCAAATGAGTTTTGACAACATTCTATGAAAAAAATATGGTGCTCATATTTGCAGTGATGGAAGACCCTGCATCATAGAACTGTCATGAGAATTAAATGACTTAATTCACATAAAGGCATTGAGGCCTGTACCTGGCACAAAGCAAGTGCTAAATACATGCTGCCATTAATGTTTTTATCACCACCACTACCACCACCATCGGTGATGGCTGGCGATGATGGCTGGTGGGGGAGTAAGAAGTGGGGAGGCACAGGGAAAGGGAGATACAGGGTTAAAGTAAGGCAGAAAAATGGACCAGATGTGGCTTGAATGCAAAGTTAGGAGTTTGTATTTTATCAAGTGGAAGTAGAGAAAGATACTATCAGTTGTTCAGAAAGTTAACAATATTAGCAGATTGTTGTCTCAGGAACCCACTCTGGTGGCAGTGTGAAAGCTGGAATGTAAGGAGACTGCCTCTGGTCACGCGGGGCGAGAAGATGAGGTCTAACAGGAGACTGCAGTGGAAGTGACGAAAT